AAAGGGGCATGGAGGGGCAGGAAGGGACTTTAGGGAATGTCCCCACAGACCCCAAAAGGCCCCTGAGGGTTGTCTGTGTGAGTCTGTGTGAGTCTGTGTGAGTCTGTGTTCTTGCTGTTGCACTTGTGTGAGAAACATGAACAGTAAAACATGAATGTTTGTGTTTTCTTTAGGAAGCTCAGAAAACAGACAAGAATCTGTTGGAGTTTCCTCTCAGGTTGGGTCACGTCCAGGCTGCAGCCAGGTCAGACTTTACTCACTGCATCTCCCATCAGCCCCTCTGCCTCTGACACTCCATCCAGAGTGGAGGAGTGTCGCCCCCTGCTGCCTCTGATGAGGAACTAGCCTGAAATCACACCTGTTTTTTGTTTGTGTTTTTGTTCTTGTTTGTGTAGGATCTCCGTGGAAACGCTGGACGCTGACCTGCAGTGGCTGACATCTCGCACACGCTCAGTAGAGGAGAGCGTCCAGAGAGACACGGAGCTGCTGCAGCAGCTGGATGACTTCCTGCAGGTATATTTCCTATATATTATCATATCATACACTGTTTATCATGTTCATTATAATAATATAGAACAGTTCCTCGTGGATCAAGTGTGTGTTCTGTCAAACGTTTCTCTTCAGTGAACACCTGATCACCGATTCTGAAGTTTGTACCTGAGAGAGAGTCAGGATTTGTGTTGCAGAAACACACTTTAGTTGTGAAGCTGCACACCAGGCAGGTAGTGACACAGCAGGCGTGTAATGTTAGCGTAGCTTAGCATAAAGGTGCAGAAACAAAGCAGGCAGCAGCCGTTGGTTTCAGTCTGAGTTGTGTGTTTGTGTGTCTGTTGTCGGTCAGGACGCCACGTCGTGTCTGTGCTCGCTGCGCGGCGGCAGACAGCAGCTGGAGAAGGAAAGCAGCGAGCTGCTGGACTTCTTCTGTGAGGACAGAAGCTCGTTCAGGATGGACGACTGCTTCAGCATCTTCTACACCTTCTGCTGCAGGTTCACCAAGGCTGTGCAGGTGCACACACACACACACACACACACACACACACACACACACACACACACACAGCTAATCGTTTGGTTTTAAACTGCAAGAATCTGCTGTTTATTGTAGATCATTTAATCTGAATGTAATGTTACACGTGACTCGTAGATTTCACAGTTTTTTGCATTTATTAAATTATGAACCTTTGAAAAAATGTAGAAAATGGCCATTATGAAACAAATGATCGGGATTATAATAACAAGCTGTTCAGATCGTATCCAGTGTAGTTTGTCTTTACATTTAACTTTAAATAGAAATCTCATATAATTATTACTTTTTTGGAATTTCACATTAAACATGTGAATTCATTGTTATTAAAAAACTGTATTAAAATCATTTTTTTAAAAAGCAAAACTTTCGTACAATTACAAAAGTTTCTGTCAGTGCCGACCGGTCAAGTGAAGGAGGATTTACAGTCGACCACAAAGTGTTGAAGCAACTTGGCTTCCTGCAGAAAAGTCCAAGTGTGTGGATAAAAGCTTCATTAAAGTTGTTTTTAAACTATGAAGTTTGAAAGGAATTTTCAGATTCATGCTGTGTCATCTGTTAACGTACTTCTTCTGAAGTTTTGGGTCGAGCTGTCCTCATCTGATACTTTATCCTTAAAAGAAAACGTACCACAGACCAGCTGCAGTACCTGGTTGTTCCAGCAGGTGGAGCCTCTTTCTGTTTAATTCTGTAGAGACCAGAGGAGGCGGCACTCAGAATACAGCTCATGTTGGCAGCAGAGAGCATTGTGGGAGTTTAGCATGACAGATGACCATGACAGAGACTCTGAGGAGGTTCAGGACCTCCACCCAGAGCTCATCCGAGCCTGAGATCAGAATCATGTCAGAGGTTTAGGTTTTGATTTATTCAGGCAGATAAGATCGTAGGCCTGTTCATGTGGGGGAAGAGTTGTGGTTACTCATGTGACGTCTGTCTAAAGGATAACGTGGAGCGCGAGGCGAAGGAGGCGGCTCGGCGGCGGCGCATTCAGGAGATGGAGGAGCAGAAGAGGCACTCGTGGGCCGGCGGCGAGGAGGTAAAAAAACCACATGAAACCAAACAGTCTGACTCTCACAGCTGCTCACTCATTGCTCTGTGTGTCACTGTCATAGGTGGGCGGAGCCTTCGGGCTGCGCTGCAGCAGCGAGACGGACATGTCGGCCGCCGTGTCCCGGCAGAACGACGCAGGGCTGCTGATGGAGCTCCTGAAGCCGAAGCCCCGCCCCCGCTCACCCCTCAACACCTCCCACGCAGGGAGCTTACGGCGGTCCAGGAACTCTCCATCCAGCTCGCCATCCGCCGCTGCTGGGCTTGAACTGAGCATGCTCCTGGAAATGGCTACTGTTGACCACAAAGTCGGCCAGCAGAGAGGAAGAGGAGACACCAGGACAGTTTTCCCGCCAGCCTCACCTGAACCTAAAAGAAGTCCTGGACCCTCTCCTCCCAGTGTCTCAGCGTTCAGCCAGGTTTCACCACAAACTCCACTTCAGAACCCCTCCAGCAGTCCAGGAACCACAGACCATGCAACCGCTTACCTCCAACGCTACGACGCTGCACAGACTCAGACTGAGACCTGGCATCCCACCGATGCAGCTACAGACACACCTACCTCCGACCAAAACCAGCAGTCTGACCGCAGCGACACTGACGGTGCACTTTGTGGCAGTTTGAGCAGCCAGGCGACGCCTCCACGCTGTCAGACTCTCTCTGCTTTAAACAGAGAAACAGCTGGAACAAGCACAACTGATCAGGTCATGAGTCACGATGAGACGCTCCTACGCAGCGCTGCTGCGACACAAAACATGTCCGTGGTTCTGGAGAAATGCATGCTGGTTCCTGAGCTCAGAGTGTTTGAGGATTCTGCCGCCACGACCAGCTGCAGTCATCACCAAGGCGACACGGGATCCACAGATCCACAGAATATCTCCCCACAGACTGACGATGGAGAGAAATCTGCTCGGACAAAGTCTTCCTCGTCACAGAGGGAGGAAGACGAGGAAAAGGTGGTTGTTTGGTGTGTGACGGGCGTCTGTGAGGCGGCCGCCGACATGCACAGCACTCCAGCGGACAAAGAGCCAAGTACAAACCAGAGAGAACAGCTTGTTTCCTGTGCCACAGCCAATCACATGCTTTCAGAACCTCGGCCAGCCAATGAGAAGCCAGTGCCTGTACCCATTAGCAGCCAACCAGCGCCTGCCTCCCGCTGTGACGACGTGTCGCTCCCTGCTTCTTCCTCCAGGTGGTGCCCAGCAGAGCCGGCGCCGGCCGCTGCAGCCCCCACTGAGAAAGATAACAAACCAGCCAATCGGGGGGAAGAAGCAAAGGGCTCCACCAATCAGCAGAGCCATGTCCCAGATAACGCAAGCAAAAACAAGATGGCTCCCATTCAGTCGTCCAATAAAAATACAAGAACAGCTTCCTCCACCAAGAACCACTTGACTTCTCAACCTCGACCCACGACCCCAAGCAGCGGCTCTGCAGCGAGCAGGTCTGTCCGCCCCCCCACCGACTCCGAGAAGCAGGGCATGAGGCGGGTGGTGCCCATCTCCAGAACCAGCCGAGGCACTCCGTCGCTGGTCAGACGTCCTGAGAACTCTGATGTCCACAGCCGGGGCTCTGCACATTCCGCCAGTCTCAGCAGAGCCTCGGTCCGACGTGGAGAAAGGCCCGCGACAGCGCCGTCATCCCGACGATCCAGCGTCAACAAGGCGCCGGACCCCAAAGAGTCCAAGGACCAGAGGGTTTCAGGCACTCTGGCAGCCGGCCGAGAGCAGTACCAGGACTTGCAAAGTAGGCCGTCCATCCGAAAGCCACCAATGAAAGCCAAGCCGGAGCCAGAGGAGAAGATGTGTCGGTCCACGCTGCGAGCGCTCGCTCTCGGTGGAGGCAGCGTCAGTGCTCCTGTTACTCCTCTGCACAAAGCCTCCACCCCAACATCCTCACTGCTGCCAGGCTTCGCCCGGAGCACCGCCTCGTCTTCCTTCAGACGGACCAGCACCACCCTTGCTCCCGCTGCTACTTTCCGGTTTCCCCACGCTGCCTCCAACTCCTCTCCTAAATCCTCCCCAAAGACCTCCACCTCCTCGACTTTCACCCGAACAGGCTCTCTGAGAGTCGCCTCCTCCAGACCTTTGGATCTCCTCACGCCGTCCGCCTCGTCCCCGCTGAGGAGCGTCTACTCATCTCCTCGCAACGGACGCGAAGACAGCAGCAGCTTCTCCGACAAATCCACGCATTCGAGGGAGTCAGGTAAAACCACCCGGCCCAGCTGGAGATAGCAGGAGGCTGAGGCTGCAGTCCGTCTCAAAGTGTTGCAGCAACTCCTTCGTCTTCTTCTGTCACTTTCCAAAATAAAGAAAATCATCAAGTGTAGTTGGAGAGGAAGGACGTTAACCTCAGTATGAAACACAGACATGGTTGTTTGAGGTCAAGAGTCTGAGCAGTGGTTCTCCACTGGAAGCCAGCGGTGTGCTCCCTCTGCTGGAGGAGATGCTGCCTCATGAAGGCTTTGTTTGATCAGACCATCGAGCTGAAGAGCAGCTGCCAAGTTCTCATATCGAGTCCCACGCTGATGCCTTTTTCTGAGAAGACTCACTTCAAGTTCATTAAAGTTCTTAAAATCAATCCAGTTTATCTTTTGACAACTGAATACTTCTGAGTTAAGGAGGAACTGGACACCTGCTGAACCTGGTTCAGGTCTGGACTAGAAGGAACCGTCTGGATGGGCGGTTCAGAGTCTTCATCACGATGCTGAATTATCCTGCTATGCATTGACACGACCACAGCGGAAATATTCTTCTTCCAACATTAAACATGATAGAAACGCTGTCGTGTGCTCAGGAAAGGTCTCGAACAAACTCTCATCTTTTCTCTGAACCATAAAACCAGCAGCAGGTTTCAAACAGACTGATTCCACTCATCAGCCAGAACCTGGAAGAGCAGAAAGAATCCTCAGATTTCCAGCGTTCTGATGGTCCTTGAACTACTCATGTGTGACTTTTGGTTTGATTTGGAAAATTAACCAAATCTGAGCTTCGTGAGGTTCTGCAAGCCTCGTTTATAAAATGTTTGCTCTGAGCAGATTGTGTAGAGAAACAAAGTTCTGCCCTGGTTCTGACTGATTCTCCGTCAGAGGGAGGCAGCGGTTCCACAGCAGACGATCATTTCATACAGAACCAACCAAATCTGATCAAAGTTTCCCCAGAAGCTCCTCAGAACACCTGGTTCTGTACCTACAGGAGCTTTATTTATCTGGGAGTATTCCAGAGCTCCAGGCCCTTGAAGTCCATAGAGGAGGGTCCAGATTTGTCCCGTTTTATTAGTTTGGACAAATCCCATTGAGCACATTCAGTCCTGGAGGTTCCACGTGTTCGTCTCCTTCACTGATGACCTGCAGTGAAAATGAGCCACAGTGAGTCCAGATGAAGCTGTTTGGCTTCAGACGGTGAAGCTGAGACGTTCAGGAACACGTGAGTCCGCTGAACAGTTCAGTCGCCTGGTTTCAGGTCCAGGTTCTGCTGTTGGTTTCCAGGAATCTGTAACATTCTGAGATATCTGCACAGTTTAGTGTATTTGCTCCACAGGCTGGTGACGAACTGCAATCAGGAATAATTAAACATCAGTACACTCGTGTTTTTATATTCATCTTCAATGTCTTTTTGATTCTTGTTGTGCTCCTTTAACTTCACTGACCGAGCTGAAGGATCTCCGTGAATCAGGTCTGATTAAAATAGAAGTGATGTTATTAATTATTGTGATTGTTAAAGCTGATTAATCTGTGACGATGAGACGGTGGAAGTGTCTCTGATTCAAAGCCAGCGTGTCTGAAGGACGTCCACCTGGTTTCCTGTTTAACCCAACATGTGTCTGAGCCGACGAATAAAGTGACGTCTGCAGTTTACCTGTCCTCAGTGTCTCACCTGAACTGACGTCAAAACCAAAGCCAAGAAACGGTCACGTCACACACACACACACACACACACACACACACACACATTTATTCACACATGAACACAGAACAAAGGGATCTCAGCAGCTGTCAGAACCAGGTGCTTTGGAATGGATGTAGTCCACAGAGAACCTCTTCTGTCCTCACATGCCTTTAAAAC